TTTGCCCTATGAATTATTTCATCAGAATGAATTTGTTAGAAAATGTTCTATGATGCAATGATCCAGTAGACTTATAATGCCACTGTAGGTCATAATTATTAGCATTGTCATAAATTAACATTTTTCTCAGTAGAATTGAAAATATTAAGTTGGAAGTATTAATTTAAAGTTCATAAAAATATAAATGATGAAGCAAGTAGAATTTTACTCATTCAAGATACGCATTTGCAGTATTATTTTGAGTATACTGAAACATGAAATATAAGCATTCATTTTTATCATTTCTTTTTGCTTTCCATTGAATCTATTGGAAATGCTAAAGCAGCATTCTCATAATTTTAACATAGGAGTAAGTCCCAATTTTGCCTGGTTGATTCAATGCCTCTACTTTCAGTGTTTCATTACCATTAATATTCTCAAATGAAATAGTTCATAATTCTACCTCATATTATTCACAACTCTATCGTTTTTTTCCCAAGTGTCTAAAGAGAGGATATGCGCCATGGATCTGAAACATTTAACAGCTTGAGTGTCCTTGGGCAATAGAGAGGAAGGCAAAGTAAATGATTGAACTGAAAGTTTAGAGAGGAAATACAGAAATTAATCCTGCAGTATGTCAGAGGCAGAATCCATTATTTAGTATCTATTTTTAAAAAGTAAATTATTAGCAGTATTTTGTAAGAAATGCAGTCTTATTTATTGCATTATTATGGTTATGTTTTCTCTGTTAGGATGGCATATGCTCAATAAAAGAGTAAGCATAAGCATCACTTATATTTTGCACAACTACAGAAAATATATCTCCAAGTTCCAGAACACATGTAATTAAATTACTTTTTTTCTCCTCTTGTTAATAAGATATTTAGTACAACATTCTGAAAATTCTTTAAAATGTCATGCTTAGATTTCTTTTTGAGTTGATAGGGGGTATTATAATGGCTCTAAGAATTTTATTTTCAAGGCTGGAGAGAAGCTACAGTGAGTATGGTTCTTGTATTACATGCAGAGGACCTGGGTTTGGTCCCCAGCAAACACAGTGCACAGAGTCAGGAGTAACTCCTAAGTACCACGGGTATAGCCTCAAAACAAAAAACAAACAAAAATCCATTTTTTAAATTTTCAAGATGTGGTTGTTCAAAATTTTCATCACAAAACTACATTGCAGTTTATAGACAAATGCTGTCTATTTTTATAACAAATGAAATTGTATTCAATCAGTAATATCACATGTACATATGTTACATCAAATGTGTACATAAAATGATAACTTAAAAATAAGAACATGTTTATTTATTTCATGATAGTGTGTAGATCCTGGAAAAGTTGTCATATATTTTTAGTTTTAGGTGGTCTCTATTGTTTATAACATTGATATGATAATAGTATCATGCTGAGCGAAATGAGTCATAAGGAGAGAGATAAACATTGGATGATTGCGCTCATTTGTGGAATACAAAGAAGGGTGGAAGGAGGCCAGTTAGGATAGAGAAGGGGTCAGTATGACAATGATAATTGGAAATGATCACTCTGGACAAGAACTGAGTGCTGTAAGTGAATAAAGGAATATACATGATAACTTCTCAGTATGTATATTGTATATTGCAAACCATAATACCTAGAAGGAGAGAGAGAGAGAGAGAGAGAGAGAGAGAGAGAGAGAGAGAGATGCCTGCCATAGAGGCAGACTGAGGCAGAGTTGGGGGGGAAGGTTGTTGGTGGGCATTGGATCATTGTATGACTGAAACCCAGTCATGAACCACCTTGTAACCATGTATCTCACAGTGATTCAATAAAAATGAAATTTAAAAATAAGCTGTTCTATACAAATACTGAGGGAAAAAAGACTGATATGCAGCTACCAAATAAAAATACAAAAATTTTGGGGGAGAGTGAGATAGCACAGCGGGTAGGGCATTTGCCTTGCACGCAGCCGACCCAGGTTTGATTCCCAGCATTCCATATGGTCCCCCAAGCACCACCAGGAGTAATTCCTGAGTGTAGAGCCAGGAGTGACCCCTGAGCATCGCTGGGTGTGACCCAAAAGCAAATATATATATATATATATATATATATAAATTTTATTTGAGAAAGAAACACATTTTTATATACTATCTATAGTTAACTAGAGATCTGAGAAATTTAAAAAGATGATAATGCAAATATTATTTATGATTTATAAAATATGAGATATTTAATCAATAACGGTTTTTTATTGAATCATTGTGAGATAAAGTTACAAAGCTTTAATGTTTGAGATTCAGCCACACAATGATTGAACACCCATTGCTTCATCATTTTCCACCACCAATGTCCTCAGTATGCCCACGTCCCATCCTAGAACTCACTCTGCCTGTATGGCAAATAATTTATCTAATACTCTCTCTCTACTTTTTGGCATTATATTTTGCTCAAATTTTCCCAACACCATTCAAGGCTATCTGCAGGGGGCAGAATCTAGATAACTTATTTTATATTGCTCATTTTAAATACCATAAGAGCTCTCGCAGCTGCTTTTGCAGCCTTGAGCTTCTGGAATTCTAGATTGTAAATGGTTGGTTCCAGAGACATCTCTGAATGGTACTAATCCATGGGATTCAATTGGGAGTCTCTGGACGCAGGTTGTTGGTGGGCTAAAATGGCACCTGGAGGCACATTTGGGCGTGATAGCCAGGCCACTGAGTAGGTGGGGAGTAGGGGAGGTACAGCCTGACTCCTCTGCCTTCATGTGGCCTGGAGATTTAGTCCTGGAACGCACATACCTGGGCCTTGCCTGTGGAAGCTCTTGGTCACTGGGATTCCACCTGGAGTAGGCAGGGAGAGCACACCTGCTTTATCTGAGGTGCCCCGGTGAAACTGGCTTGTATTGGAGCACAGAGAGATCTCCATTGCTGTGGTGTCTTCCGGGACATGTTGCTGTGTCTCTAATAAAGAGTTTCTATGCAGATATGTCCCATTTGCAAATTGATATGCTGTACTGTTTTCCAAAACAGATTCCTCCTTTTCTTGTATAATTATTTTTATAGGGTTTCCAGTACCATCATGTTGAATATGATGGTGAAATTAGAAACTTTTATCCTGATCTTGATTTTAGAAACACGTCTTTTATTCTTTTAGATGATAAACCTGTTGTCCTTTGAGTTTGTAGGTTTGCTCATCCTGAAACTTGTCGTTTTTTATCAGTTGCTTTTTCTGTACTTATTGAAATGTGTGCATGTTAATTTGTTCTAAAATATGGTATATTACATGATTAATTTTAATTATTTTAAAAATTTGGTAAGATTGTTAGGAAAGATGTTGATCCTGAACTTAGCATTCTCAGGGTAGGTTTTTTAAATGTTGATTCAATATTTTCTCTTATAAGTTTATTAAGACTGTTTTTTTTTGGTATTCCGATCACAGAAATGGTAATTTACATTTTCAAAAATAAACCCATTTTTTCTAAATTATAGAATTTTTATCAAGATAATTGTTCTCATTGTTCTTTATATCTTATAATTTCTACAATTCGGCAATAATGTCCTCACTTTTTTCTGATTTTCATAAGTTGAATTCTATTTGTTAGTGTTACTAATGATTTGTCTTTTTTTCATCTTTCTGAAGGCCTTAACAATTTTTGTGTATATTCCCTATCATTTTTCTGTTGCTATTTTACTTTTTTATTAAAAATAATAATAATTATTATTATTGTTAAATGAATCACCATGAGATACAGTTAAAGACTTACAAACTTTCATGATTACGTTTCAGTCATACAATGACAGAATACCCACCCCTCAACCAGTGCTCGTTCTTCACCAGTTTCCAGTACCCCTTCTGCCATCCCTACCCCCTCACACCCCCTGCCTTTATGGAAGGCACATTCCCTTTTACTCTTTCTTTCCCTTTGAGTGTTATGGTTTGCAATACGGGTACTAAGTGGCCATCATGTTTGGTCCGTAGTCTATTTTCAGAACACATCTCTCATCCCGATGAAGCCCTCCAAGCATCATTTACTTAGTGATCCCTTCTCTATCCCAGCTGCCCTTTACCCCAGCACGTGAGACCAGCTTCCAAATTATGGAACGATCCTCCTGGTCCTTGTCTCTACTATTCTTAGGTGATAGTCTCCTATTATGTTACTTTATATTCCACAAACGAGTGCAATCATTCGATGTCTGTCCTTCTCTTTCTGACTCATATCACTTAGCATGGTACTATGTCCACTCATTTATATGCAAATTTTATTATTTCATCTTTTCTAACAGCTGCATAGTTTTCCATTGTGCAGATATACCAAAGTTTCTTTCTTTAACCAATTATCTGTTTATAAAGTAAGATTTTATCCTTATTTTTACTTGGCTCTTTTTTAGCTCCTAAAAATGTAATCAATTTGTTGACTTAAGATTCTTACTTTTATGTGCAGGCACTTAGAGCATCAATTTCCCTTTAAGAACTCTGCTGTTGTAGTATACCAGAAATTTAGGTATATTGTGGTTCACTTCCCATTCATCACAAAGTTTTTTTATAATCTTCTTGGTAATTTCTTCTAAAATTGGAAACATTAAAATTAAACCTAAGTTTTAAGTGAATTTTTTTTCATTTTTGGTTTTGGGGCCATACATACCTGAGTATACTCAGGGCTAACTCCTGGCTCTGTGCTCAGGAATCATTCCCAGTGGACTTGGGGTAGATATCATAGGCAGTGCTACGGATTGAAATTGGGTCAGCCACATGGAAAGTAAGTACCTTCTTCAATCTACTATATTTCCTGTCCATGGATTTGTTTTTAATTGTTTTCTAGTGATAAAGTATGAAATAATGAAGTATTTTAAATGAAAATATGTTTTAGGTATAAGTAATGAATATCATTCAAATTTTTAACTTGTCCTACAGTAATTTTTAAAATTTTTGATCCCACAACTTAGGCAAAGATATTTTTATACAGAACTATTATAAAAGTCATAATTAGGAATGTCAAAGCATTACAAATGATTACCATAAGACTTCTTAATCCTATTTAGGAGCAATGGAAATCACAAAAGAGAAACTAGATATATTTAGGAGCAAGTGATTAATTATATAATTAAATAAAATGAAACACTAGGGTGAGTATCCAGACTTCAAAAAGATAAGTGAATATGAATAACATATGTAACTAGCATCCATTTATAAATGTCAGTTTTCAATACAATCTGTTTTAAATGAAAGCACTTAAATCCTTATAAATAATATTTACAATTGCATATGTTCTTGCTAGAATAAAACTTTTCCATAGGTGATATAAAACAATAAAATATTCAATAATTATACAGCATTAATTTATTTGAAGTGGTGACATTTACATAAGATATGCTATAATTATAAATTATTATTCAACAATATTAGCCTGGATTAAAACTTCAGTTAACCATTAGTGTTTCTATATTTTCATTTCTCTATCTAAACTTTTGTGTAAATTCTTTACTTGTAAATCATTAACAATGTTGTAATGAGGTGAATTTTATTACAGAATATGTCTTCAAGCATACATTGTAGAAAATTCTATGCTACTTATATATGATTGTGTTGTATGTTTGGATGATATGCAAATTATGTAGTCTGCCTGAGGCTTCTGCAAAAACAGGATTATGAAACTGAGGTTCCATAAGGAATTCTCCTCATTTAATTTGCCCATCGTGTTACCAGATTTTATAGCATTATACATATTTGTAACAATACCTGGAAGGGTTCCTTTTCAAACAAAGTGTTTCTAAAACAATTGATCATTCCCTTCTCAAAGAATTAAACTCTTCATTTGTATTTGAAAACATAAAACTTAAGCTTGTTATTCTCTCCAAACACAAGTTTTCTAAGCACTTCCCACTTGAGATGTGTGTATATTGGAGCAATGGGTATCATACTCAAATAGAACATCTATGTGATATACGATAAGAATAAGGAAATTAGATCATAAGAGCATTTAATTCATGCTACCAATTTCTTCAGGTTTCTTTTTCTAATAACGTTTTAGAGTTTTTGTTTTCACTTTTTTTCCCACTTACTATTTAATGCAAAATCAATGTTTTTTTTTAATATTAGCTACCATAGAATCAACGGGAATATCTGCTACTGATAGATAAGATTTGCTAACTTCAGTATGAGCAGGGGTAAAAGCAATGAGATAAAATATTCTGCTCGTTTTTAATCAGAACAGAGCAGAAACTGGATTTTTGGTCCATATAATTGCCCTGTTGTTTCAATATAAATAAAGTTGCTAATAAAATGAAGCCACATACTGACCTAGTGGCACTTGTATTAGAAAAGCAAGGGGGTACTTTAACAGCATGCCACTCTACGAAAAACAGTTATGTGGAAATCTGATTCAGAACTCAGGATAACATAGTTTCTTCAGTCAACATCAAATTGAGTATTCCCGATAACATCAATTTTTCTCAAATTGGTAGAACATGTAGTTATCTTCTAGATAGAAACAAGAGTTTGTTAACAGGCTTAGAAAATGCCAATCTCTGTTGGAAACTCTACTGTGGGAAGCAGAACAAGCTATGTCAGGACATATGAAAATGGTTTTGAAGTTTCAGTTCAATTGAGAATTACCCATAGGCACTAGGATACACTAAAGTATAGGTAAAGGTAAAGGCCCTCCCGTTGATCGTCGATTTGCTCGAGCGGGCCCAGTAACGTCTCCATTGGAGACTTTGTTGTTACTGTGTCTGGCATATCGAATACTCTCGGTAGCTTGCCGGGCTCTCCGAGAGGGGCGGAGGAATCGAACTCGGGTCGGCCATGTTGGCCGCGTGTAAGGCGAACGCCCTACCCGCTGTGCTATTGGTGACAAAATTGTCTAAAAGTTTTCAGAATTTAGTTTCTTGCAAAATACAAATCATTAGTAGCTTTCTGACCTGATAAGTTTTTTTGTTGGTTTGTTTCCTGGTATTTTCTCAGAGACTACTCCTGGACCTGTGCTCAAGGATTAGTCCTGGTGGTTTCTGAGGACCATGTAGGGTGCCAGGGATTGAACCTGAGTCAGTGGTGTGCCTTACCCAGTTTAACCCTCTCCATTCCCATGATCTGATATACTTAACCTCTCCACAACTTAGTTTACATTCAACTGAGCCTATTTCATTTTCTAGTCCAGCAAAATATTATAAGTATTATATATAAAATATGGCCACAACCCTACGAAGTTTTATAAATTGTAAAGAATAGTGTCAGTCTGTTTCTATTTTATATTACTTATATGCTTATTTAAATGGCCTAATTTTATCTTACTATAATAGATGAATTGAAATTTATATTATATGTAATTGTGTATAAGCTGTCATGTATATGTACATATCTATACAATGATGCATATATGTGTGTGTAGGTATGCATCAATGCAGGCATATAATAAACATATGCATACATGTATAGATCAATGACTTTTCATCCAGAAGAACATTAAGTGCTTTGGACGTTAGAATTCCTCTTGGTACTTTGCAAATGCCACATTGATTCTAATTTTCTGCAGTTTATTTTAAGTTATGCTTAATATTTATTTTTTCCATTAGGTTTTTTGGGGATAGTTAGGCAAGATATTGCCCATAGGGAAAAGTATAAAGAACCACAACTGTTGACATAGATTTTTTATGAGTGCTTCTATGCACACGAATTAAATGATCTCAGTATAATTACTGTAGTGGAAATTGTGAAATTGAATGGTGCCCTTGGATGTAATCCAAAAGCAAACTTCATTTCATTACAGTAGTTTGCTTTAAAGGAAAGAAGGTGAAAAAAAAAAAACAAGGATCAAAAGAACTGCATTTTAAACTTAACATTTCATTTGTATTCATGCTACCTCTTGTATTAATAAGTTCTTATTTGGACTATCCACTTCTTTAGAAATGATTCAATTTAGTATATGAGAAAATCTATTGTTTTATCATGATTATAATAACATCTCTCTCTTTTTAGTGAATAGGAATAGTTAGCGAGAACATTATCTTGTCAGCATTTTATGATAATAAGATTTGTCCAATTGCATATTTATGCTGTGTAGCATCACCTAGACTATTACCTCTTTACTTATTTATTTTTAATTCAAAACATCTTGACTCCCTGGAGAATATTCACAGCAGATATTCAGAAACATTCTATCTCCTCTTAAGATTCCAATCTCATCTCTTTCAGTGTTCTTTCTTGCAGTAAAACCTTCCTTCTATTATCCTAATGGGAGAACCAAAGTGGCAAAAAGAAAAGGATATTCTTTAGTCTGATCCTGTGTCCTAACCAAGTTTTCTGTGTTTCCGAAGTCATTATTTCTATTTTCCAAAAAAGGCTTTCCATGTAAATCTGGAATTTCATCATCTTCCTTTCTAACAATCTCTTTTTTTCTCTTTCAAGATTTTTTTCATGTTTTCTGTCCTTTTTTCCAGTTTTGAATTGTATACATCAGAAAAAGCCTAAGGTCTAGTGTGGGAGGATGGATGATTCTGTTCAGAGCTGTGAGTATTAAGGGATGATAGTGGTTGGGATCTTTCTTGATGATTTTTCTTTTCAAGAAAGGCAAAAGGAAGCCAAGAAATGTGCTCAAAGATATGGTACACACAAAAGTTTGCATGAGATCCTGAACTCAATCTCTAGCACTCCATCCCAATCCATGACAAAAAGGTGGAACCTTGGTGATACCCATGCAGTGTCAGGTATAAGCCTGGTAGTTATAGAAACACACTACTGGTTCCCAGTACCAGTGGGTATGGCACCTATTTTTTAAAATGCCCCAAAAGCTCATATCAGATCCCCACTGACAGTGAAACAATATCCAGGAATTCACTTTGTGAATGTTCAAAAATCAAAAGCAGGTACAGACTAGACTAGGTAATACTGAAGTAGTCTAAACTTAAGTCTAAGAAGTGAGAAAGGTAGAGTGGACATGACTAGTTCTAGGATTGCAGATAGAGAAATCAGCACTGGAGTATTAGAAGGACTGGCACAAATCGAACATCACATGAACTTAGATGACCAGGTAGAATCACCATCAGAGAAATAAATATCAGAAATAGTTAGCAGATGAGAATGATAATAATTCAGTCAGGTTTGGGTTTTCATGGGTTCTTTCTCTTATATGGGAAATTGTCAGAATTCCATGTCCACTGGCCTTTTGGTCACTTAGCATAATTCTGGAGCAGTCACAAAGTTAGTAGGTATATTATTTTGCATAAAGAGATTACTAGCAAAAGGTCATCATCCCAGGCCTGAGACATAAGTTGTTTGATTATTTTTTTTTCTGGGTTGGATCCCTAGGACCCAATAAGGGCCCTGAGCCTCTTCAGGATAGGTCCTTGAATATAGGGCCAAGGAGAGTCTAAGCACTGCCAGATGTGCGAACACCCCCCCCCACCACACACACACACACACACTTCCACCAAAAAGCAAAAACCAAAAAACAACAGGTCATTGTCCCAATGTCTAGGGCCTGTTTCATGGATAAATTCTATATTGGCTGGGTTGTGTCCCTCCTTTCCTGTCCACTTCAGTAGCAGGGGATAGGATGTGCCATGAGGAACCTTTACTTTCCTATTGACCTGCATAATTTTGTATGATTTGGAGTTCCTAAACTCTCCTCTAGCCAGATAATAAGACCTTAAGAGTTAAATTATTTCTAGCTTTTATTAAACAATAAAACTATCTCCCAACCTGTCTTATCAGATTCATGCTTTGATTGAATCATCTGGTTGTTTTGTCTTATATTTTTTAGCTCTTAGCCAAAACCCAGCCATATTCAAGGCTTGCTCATGGCTCTGTGCTCAGGGATCACTTTCAGAGGGCCCTGGGGGAACCTATATGGTGCCAGGGATCAAACCTAAGTTAGCAATGATCAAGGCAAATGTCCTGTGCACCATACTATTGTTCTAGATCTCTACTGGAACAATACTGGTTATTTTAATGTTCTTGACATCATTCAGCAGAGAAATATCATGTATCAAGAAACTGAATCATCTGGTCAGGGAGATAGCTAGCTAAAAGGTCTGCTGTGCATGCTTGGCATGTGGAATGCCA